AGGACTGTGCATACACTAGGGCGTCCGTAGTGTAGGATAAGCACTGGTAAAGGGTATCAAGAATAGAGTGTCTTGAGGAAATAGCCGGTGTATGGTTATAGCAAGCCTGGGGGGTAAATTTACCACCCGCTTATGCATGCATTAGGTTAGAAATAGGAGTAAACAACTTGTAACGGTGAAGTACAAGTCCTATGCAGCAAGCAGCAGCCAGCAGCAGCAGCAGCAGCAGCCGCCTGCAGCCAGCAGCCAGCAGCAACCACCAACCAGCAGCCAGCCAGCAGCACCACGCAGCAGCAGCAGCAGCATCAAGCCGCAGCAGCAGCAGCACCACCGGCAGCAAGCACCACCGGCAGCAAGCAGCAAGCAGCAGCAGCAAGCAGCAAGCAGCAGTAGCAGCGGCGTCGTCAGCAACAGCAGCAGCAGCACCAAGCCGCAACAAGTAGCAAAGCAGCAGCTACAAAAGCGGCAACCAGCGGCAGCAGCAAACAGCAGCAGCAAGCAGCAGAGCGGCAGCAGCAGTAGCACCCAGCACCCTTTACACCAAGCCACCGTTTACACCCAACCAACCACGTTCACACGTTCAACCAACCCCCTACACGGCGCAGCTGGGAGTTGAACCGCGGGGGGGGGGGGGTTAGCTTGATATATCAATCTTTAAGGCACGCAGCCCCTCCCACCACAACATTGCTAAAGCAAAGAAGAACTCAGCTAGCATGCTAGCTTTCGCGATCATTGGCATCCAACAGTTTTTGCACAACATCCAACTCATCAAAAGAATGGTTCTTCTTGATAGCTGATCGTTTGTTATTGATCATTGATGGAATTAGGTCCGAACGCCAACAACCATGGGCAAAAAACAACTCAGAACAGATTCATGCTTTTTGACACTCCTCAATCGACCAAAAGGATGGTGCTCACTTCTGGCTCTGTTTCATCGAAGGCGTGGGTCAATGCCATGGCCAACGTCCTGAGCGTGATTCTCCAATCCATGAAGTTCCCATGAGGTAAATTCCTGGCTACTGGCATTATGCTTGTCACATCCCAAAATTGAACGAAATAAATCATTGGATTATCCGATGATTATCCCGTCACTCAATGGTCAGGATGATTGATATTGACCCATACTCATGACACCCAGTCTTCAAGCTTTGGGTCCCTAGCGTGTCAACATCTCAACACGTGTCTTCCAACATCTCACCTTTGCGCCTCCCTCAGTGTGCTTTCGTCATGAAGTGTCATTAATGATTAAGTCAAACTTGAAGAAGAACGGTTCCACCAAAATGTTTGAAAATGTGTGTCATTAGGAGTTGTTTATATATATATATATATATATGCCTGCTTGTATTGCTTACCGGACTTGGATCCGGCCCCTACACAAAATGTTGGAACATCTTCAACGACACCCTATCCAGACGGCCTGCCTGCCCTGCTTGATCAGCATACTCGCCGCCAGCGAAGCAATAGACAAGCGCACCTTTCTGAAAGTGATGTGATATCTCCAAACGGTAAACCTGGGTGCACAGCATAGCCAGGATAGTTGAAGCAAACCATGTCCACTGATTAAAGAAAACAAAGAGGGAATACCAAGCTTTATGCTACTTCTGGGTACGTTGAAGCCAAATCAAAAGGACAGGCTGCTGCAGCAGGCTGAACAAGAAACATGAGGTCCCTCTCCTTTTGCCACAGGATCCGAAAAGTGTCGTTATTTTCAGTTGACAGCTGCCAATCGACAATCATCTGGTTGAAGCGTGCCAAAGGCAAAACCTGTAACCAGAGATATGCCATGGATAGGGGTGCTGCAGACACCACCATCAGAACTTCAGGATGGGGACGCATACCAAAGAGCAGCAGGAGCATGGCAAAAATGTAGGCCAAAGGTGGAACTAGTTCCAGCGCGAAATGAATTCGTAAAAACCTGCGCCACTTGGTCTTCACCAAACCCACCAGGGTGACGTAATGCGGCAAGGTCGGGACGTTCAGATGTTCCGTCCACCTGCACAAGTGGTGCACGTCCAGTTCCATCATCAGGGTGGTGGCAATGTGGGGCTTGACGATCACTGGCAAAAACGCGAGCTTCATAGCTGCCGCAATCAGTAAGACTATGGTGCTGGAATGGTCTGCTTGTTGGTTCCATGCGTACATGGCCGGCAGGAAGCTGGCGATGAGAAGCAAGGATGTGGGAGTTGTAGTATTCTTGTGGATGAACATCCGCTGTTTGGGCTAATGTCACTGTGGTCTCCCACCCTTTCTGGGACACCGCACCGCCCAGGCACCGTACCGACCGAAACGGCACCAGTTCAAGCAAGCGGCAAGTTGCCCACCATCAGCAGGCTTCCAACGCAAAGCCATTTGCCAATCGCCCAGGTGTCAAGCATCACAGCTTCCGTTCCGCTCAGTCGTCCCACCCAAAAGGGCTTGAGAGTGCGAAGGGCTGTTGCAACAGACACGTGGTAAAAGTAGTCCATGAGTTCAAAAGCAATGACCTGACGAGCGGCGTGGGAAACAACTGCAAGGGTTGGGTACCCAGGTTAAACCAAGGTAGCCAACACCTGAGCGCCAGCAAATGAGAGGGTGCCAAGGTCTGGGAGATACATTTGTGAGAGGAAGTGCGCTACCAGGGCATTCCAAGGTCTATGGATGTCTCAACCTTGGCCACTCATCCTCTTTCTGCTTCAATGAATATCTCCAGCAGTTTGTACGAACTTGTTGCCGCGGAGAATCTTTATAGACAGAAAACAAGGCAAATAGCAACACAAGCAAGACACGAACGGCCCAGCAGTCTAAAGCAAGAAAGGTCTTTTAGGATCTAAAATTGTATGGTGTATGGTTTTCTTTTTCACATGCGCCCAACCTTTTCTGAGCCAAAACTAATGTGCTCAAATTCTCCTCAAATAAACAAGATGGAGCCCACGAACCCGAATGGAAACACGTTCGAAAAACTACATATGTCCAAATGACACTCTTGTGGGTCACTCTTGTGGGACACTCTTGTAGGACACTCTTGTGGGACACTCTTGTGAGACACTCTTGTAGGACACTCTTGTGGGACACCCTTGTAGGAAACTCTTGTGGGACACTCTTGTGGGACACTCTTGTAGGACACTCTTGTGGGTCACTTGCAGGACACTCTTGTGGGACACTCTTACACGACACTCTTGTAGGACACTCTTGTAGGACACTCTTGTGAGACACTCTTGTGGGACACTCTTACACGACACTCTTGTGGGACACTCTTGTGGGACACTCTTGTAGGACACTCTCGTAGGACACTCTTGTGGGACACTCTTGTGGGACACTCTTGTGGGACACTCTTGTGAGACACTCTTGAGCGACACTGTTGCGGGACACTCTTGTGGGACACTCTTGTAGGACACTCTTGTGGGACACTCTTGTGAGACACTCTTGTAGGACACTCTTGCGGGTCACTTGCAGGACACTTTGTGGGACACTCTTACACGACACTCTTGTAGGGCACTCTTAAGGGACACTCTTGTAAGACACTCTTGTGGGACACTCTTGTGGGACACTCTTGTGGGACACTCTTGTAGGACACTCTTGTGGGACACTCTTGTGGGACACTCTTGTGGGACACTCTTATAGGACACTCCTGTGGGATACTCTTGTCGGACACTCTTAAGGGACACTCTTGTGAGACACTCTTGAGCGACACTGTTGCGGGACACTCTTGTGGGACACTCTTCCAGCTCCCCAGATACTCCGCATACTCACCAGTTCTCATCTTCCACCTCCCCAGATACTCCGCGGACTAAAGTTGTACTACAAAGTTGCCAGTGCTCGCCTGCGTTTCGCGCGCTCGACACGCGCGATCTCCGCAGAGGGTTGCGCGGGCACCGGACAAATCGCACTCTCGCCTGCATTTCGCGCGCTCGACACGCACGATCTCCGCAGAGGGTTGCGCGGGCACCGGACAAATCGCACTCTCGCCTGCATTTCGCGCACTCGAAACACCCATCGGAGCACACACATCACGCAGCCCTGCCAAGCAGTTTCGCGATTCCAGCCCCTCCAAACAACATCCGCTCACACGCCAATCCCAATGTGACAGCGACATTCACCTCTACCACGACTCACAACCTCACGATTCCCTGCGCTTGCCACGAATCTTTCCGCGTCCACACGTCTAACGCGCACGAAGTCCTGCGCCTGCCACGAAATGTCACCTCCGTCACACCTCGCAACCTCACGATTCCCTGCGCCTGCCACGAGAATCGCACTTCCACGCCTCAAAACCTGCACAAAGTCCTGCGCCTGCCACGAAAAGTGACAATATCATCTCATGTGAGCTTCAACAAAATTTGCACCACACCACACGTTCGGAATGATTTCGACCCGTTCTGAGCACACTCCCATCCACCAAAACCGCCATTTCAGCTGAGACTTGTCACGAAAACAGAGCTTCGATGCCACACCCTGAAACGCAAATCCCAATGGCACGGCCACATCCAACACCCCAAAAACACGAGTCTCCAAACGCTAATCCCAATGGAACTGCGCAGCAATCTGCGGATCTCACAAAACGCTGCGCCTGTGCAGCGAAATGCATCACGTTTCTTGCGCGACATGTCATTGTCATGCAAATCACAATGGAATAGCGGCGCAAACTGACACGTGACACGTCCATGAAAAGTCACTTGCAAAAGCGTCCCCCAATGGCAGCAAATTTGAGACGCGACGACGACGACAAACGACGAGAGACGACGACAAACGACGAGAGACGACGACAAACGACGAGAGACGACGAGACGACGCAAGCCATGCAAACACAGCTCCAACCCCCACACCCCCAACTATAAACGGGAACCCTTCGCTACGCATTCGGGAAAAAGGAGCTCAAGGTACTCCCTTTTGAGTCTGAGCACCAATTGGGGTTCAAGCGCTCTTGGAGGGTCGTTTAAATCAGCTACTCGTCATAAACTTTGACCCTTTAGGACGGTCTGCAACCACGCGGCACAAATGTTCATCAGTTTGTAGCCTGGATGTGAATCCTGTCCCAGCACCGTCGTGCCCATGACGATGGCATTGGCAGACGTCCAGAAGCGAGGGCCCATCTTAAAGTAGCACCTGTTGAGCAGGGGCACTGCCGGGCACTGCAACAGCTTAACTTCGAGTGCCTTGGTTGTGGTAGTCAAGATGGGAAGAACAAGCAAAGTGGCGACCAACATGCGATGCCGCCAAGGTGTTGAGATTTTCCGTCGCCCACTATGAGAGCAACTCGTCGGAGACTGAGGCAAGCTCTTTGGTGGAATAAACGGCGTAACGAAGAAGGTTGTCAAACAGCATCCCTTTATATAACTACAGTGCCTAAGAGTGTCTGGAGCCTCTTGACAAGAAAGAATCCTGTCACAGAACGAAGGTCAACTTAGCAGCAACTTCCATGAAATGATCCTTGGCGCATGTGAATGCGTGTGATTTATTTGGACGAGCGCCTGACAAAGCAATTGGACGGTGACGACAGCCATCGGGCGGCTGCAGGTTGCATCCAATCAGCTGCATCATAGGTTTCGTTCATTTCGTGGCCTGGTGGCTGTGAAGCCTCGTGGATCTCGAAGGAGGCCACCTGGGGCAGTTCATCTACGTTCCAACGCGTTTGGGGAGATGTATTCAATATTCAATCATCAAAATCATTCCCTATTCAATCTTTGACCTGTCTTGGAAATTGTGGTTAACCAATTCGGGCACTAGCATATGGACTCCATGGACTGTTGTACCCACCTCTGAAGCTCTTCGATCATCAGGCGTAGTTTCTGGTGGGCCCTTTTCGTGCGTGGCAGACTCGGCAGCGTCCGCTGTGCTCTCTTCCGCAGCTTCAGACATGGCTGCAGTTTCAGCTGGGTGAATGAGGTTGAAAGGCAATGAAGACACTCTTAATCAGAAAGGGCTTCATTAGCTTGAAAATGTTTTAGTTGACGCTGCGCATCTTCAATTGTCTCCAAATGGCATGCTGATGATCTGATGCCTTTTACATTGTTGGGATGGGGTGGAGCTTTGTATAGAGAAATGGCGACGCGGTTTGGAGAGAGTGGGATGGGGTTGAGATTCGTGGGGCGGAGTGGGATCAACTGCAGACCTCTGTGGCGGACAGAAACTCAAAAGGTCGAGGTGGAACGGGATGACGACTGCCGCTACTACGCGATACCACACAAAGAAGGCATGTATACCGTATACCCCAAGTGATCGCCTCTTTTCCTGGTCCACTTAGGAATCAGCTCGCATCTCAGCCTGCATTGCATTGAGCAATCCTTCAGAAGTGGTCTTCTCGTGTCACAAAAAAATAGTATTTAAGCTCGACAAAATCTAGAAGATTGTCAATCTCTCGCATGACCACAACCACTTTGCCAGCGTCCACCTCTGCAGCTTCGCACAGACTGCCAAAATTCAGAAAGACAGCATGCAGCACCTGGCAACTCAGCGTGTGCTTTGCCAAGCACTTCTCATGTTCGCTGCTTATCCGACGTGCAAACCACAACTTTTCCGAAGATTATAGGAACCAATTGAATAGTGTGAGCGCTTCTTCAAGGAAGCTCCCCCCCGCCCTCCCGCCCTCAGGCGGGTGGCGAGAGCTTCCTTGAAGAAGCGTGAGCTATCCTGCCACCTAAGAGGGTGTTTAGTACAGGAAGAAGAAAGAACACGGAGCTGGGCCTTGACATGAGATTCTCTTGCTTTTCCACTTGCTTCTATTGAGTGTACTGAGCGAATAATACTCGCCAAGAACTCCTCCTCACACGTTTTGCCTACTGAATCTGCATCCATGGAATTTGGCAAATCAAACTGTATGTTCAATATTTTTCACTTACATTTCACAACCTATGTCCATTTCACTGCAGCCCTGCGGGCCCTACGATTTGTTCAAAACATGGCCTCCAGGTCAGAAAGCCCAAAGCGCCGTTGGGTTGCGACAGCTGAAGCTTCGAAATTTCACGAGGACATACAAGCTGAAAGTCTCTCACATGCCCTGGAGGACTAGTACATACGGTGACAAAATTGAAATCCCTTGCAAGCTGAACGAATCTTTAACACAGAAGCTGATCCCTGTGATCCCTGTGATCCTCATCTCACACCCTTCGATTTTCTTGTGAACGGAACGAACATCTGAGCAATCGGTCTCCTCCTAGCTAAGTTGAGGGGAGATCAAATTCCGGCACCTGCAATTTCAGTCCCTCGACGCAGGAGACTGACCTACGAGAGACACCTACCATGCAAAGCGATGCAAAGGCTTTGCGACGCCAACAAGCTATGGAGGGTGCAAAGCAATTCAGCGATCACGCAACGAAGTGGGTGAAGTCAGAATCACTGACCGATCTTGACCCATGGCTGCGGCTGGCCCATGATCCTGGCTGCTCAAATCCGCTTAACATGACGACATCCACTGTACCATGTTTTGCCTGGGAGTGCAAGCAAGTGCTGATCTTGAGCTCTCAAGTAATGCAGTTTTCGTGGCACGCATAAGTCTCACAAGAATCAAACGTTTTGACCTTAGAAACACCACACTCCTGGCATCTGGTCTCCACATGACTGGCGCCAGTAGAGGAGGTGGCCCTCATCACCATAGTTTTTGGTGGCGCATAAGTGCACACAACAGGGCACACCAGCGCCTAAAGCTCGAAGTGCTGTTGGCGCAGGAAGTGCAACCTGCATTTTTGGGATCTGTTTGACCAGGATCGCGTGCAAGTTGCCAAGCCATGAAACATTGATCCTGCTCTACCCTCCATGTTTGGTCCACGAAGGCCTCGAACGACTCTAAAAGCTCTACTTGATGTGGTTTCCAATATGTTCAAGAAGGGGCAGCCTTTGCATCTATATACCTCCCGCGCCAAACTTCAAAAAAACCACCTGCACTGGAAGAGGCATCGGTCTTGGCATTTGAGGCCTCATCTGCAAACAAGGTCACGGCGGCATCAGTATCCGTGAGAGTTTTGATGTGTTTGTCTGAATAGGTTTGTAACGAAACCACACATTTGGAGCGTTCTTGCGAAGAGCCGTTGCAGTGGAGAGGCTGGAAACAAAATATTGTACGTAGGTCGGTTTTGTTGATTTGTGTTCTTCGTGGCCCTGTGTGCTCAACGAACGTTTCTCGTGTTCATGTTTTCAGAACCAACATTCGCGTTGATTTGCCTTTACATGCGTTCGACAACTTTCTGTTGGAGGCATATGGGATTCATCCATCGCAAAGTCACAAAATGCCGAAAAGAACTGTCATGAAAGACATTCACTGTAAAATCATTTCAGCCTGATTCACGCGCACATCAGATGAGTACGTGACTTCGAAGAGCCAAACACTTGCGTAACGTGTGCAACGAACATTGGCGCCGCCCAACCCATTCCACACGTGCATCACATATGACTTCGAAAAGCAAAGCACGTGCCGTGCGTTTCCCCCCAACCCCCCCGAAACACACACTTATTGACATGCGTTCTGATCTGAATGCCACATGCCACACACACCCAGGTGTGAACGCCTAAGGGTTCAGGCACATTAAAATCAAGAAAGTGAGCAACATCTCCAGGCCTCCAAGCCCGACAAAAACGAAGCGACGACAGGGCGAAATGACGGCGGCCGCTCTTGTCTGCAGAGTGCACTAGCCCTTTATGGAAGAGGAGTGACAGCTTTGTCAACAGTTCCAAAAGGCAAGTACAGCAGGTTGATCAGACCTGGCTTCCACTTCACGCATAGCTTCGTTGGCATGCGTTTGCGTGATAGCCGCATGCCCCCTGCTCGAAACCAAAAGGTTCCCTGTGATTCCAAGGGGTGCACACACACGCCTCCCACTTGGGGAGGCGAGAAGAGCTAAGGCCAGGACGGATGTGCATGTGTGTGTGTGTCTGCGCAGCAAAGACAAAAGAGTGAAGACACGAAAAGGGGACAAGACGGGACAAAGGTGTAAGTGGTTGCGATGAAAGGGAACTGCACAGGGGACAAACGATGACAGCCCACCCCTCATTGTAAAGACCGGGGCGACCTGAAGCCTGGGTTGAAGGTAGGTTGTGCACGTACATACTAAGGGCCGAGCCGTGTGTGCGCAAAAAAAAGGAGAGATGAGGAAGACAGGAAGACATGAAACGAAAGAGG